TACATAAATAAACGCGAATGAGAGAGAGAGAGAGATGGGGGGAAGGGAGGGAGGGAGGGAGTATAGAGAACAGGTCGCATTCGATAATACAGGTATAACGCGGATATACGTGTGTAATAAGAGCAGGGAGTGTTGATCGAGTAACATAACGAGAGCGGTCGTTGTCGATACTGGGTCAAAAGATCATTCATAATCAGGTTGACCTTTTAAGAATGCCGGGTATTACATAGTATTACACAGGCGTCGTAATGTTGTGTAAACATCTCGATTGAAAGATTACACGTTTTACGAACTCGATCGCATACGAATTCAGTTTTTATTAGGGATGCACCGGATATCCGGGAAATATTCGTTATCCGATATTATCTGCTACTTTTTTGCTATCCAGTTGGATAGTCAGATATCATTAATATTCGGCAATATCCGATTGAAATTATATATTGAAAGTTTGCGTTATTGATACAGACTATTCTTTTCAGCTGAACTTGTTCTGGAACCCGACTGAATATCCGGAAAATATCGAATATCTAATGTTACATTCTTTTCGGTTATCCGATAAATAATTTTACGATTCGATGTATCCCTAGTTTTTATCACCATCGATTGAAAATGTTATTCATCTGTATGCTACAACTTGATGCATGTAATTTCAGGAATTTATATACTGCACGGTATGGACCTTGTTCTATTTGCTGGCCGCTTCCCTAGTAGTTTCTTTCACACCTTACTCGGAAGCTTTTGTTACTGCTGCGGTAAGAATTCTTTTGTACATCTTTTAAATCGCATTAGTATACCTTGCGGTCAATGCAAGTGTCAAATAAACGTCGACAACATTCTAATTCTCTCATAGAAGAGAAAAACACAAATGATCGTAAAATAACCAATTTTAAAAAATACAAACGTTTATTGTTTAAAATATTTTTTGATGTTTAATGTTTTTGCTTTTTTTTATCATTCTCAAAATAGCAAACGAATACACTCTTCTTAATATTAAAATTTATGTGCAGTTCTTCGGATATTGCGCAATGTTCGTGTACGGCTACGACGCTTGGCTGAAGTTTAAGGCGGTAATGAGCGGGGGTTTGGCGCAGGGCCAGAGCATACCGAAACAATTGTCTGGCGTTACCAGTCCAGCGTATTAGATACTCAGGAGAGAAAAGGGCCCACGGTAGGATGGACCACATCGGTTGATCGACTGGAACGATCGATCGATCAACACATATCGTTACCTTCGTGCGGGGCCAGTCCTTTTTGTAATTCCGGCGCGTTCCTCTCACGCGGAACGTCAATGGCACGCACAATGCGCGTGCATAGCGCGTGCTTGTGCGTATGTACGCCCGTTTGTCCACGCCCGCGCACATGTATTCGACTTTTCTTTCGTCTTTTTTTTTTTTTTGTATTCTGTAACAAGGCAATAATCTACACTACGCCGTAGTATTAACTTATATTCTAATAAGAAGAAGAGAGCGACGCGACTGCGTGCACGCGTTATCCGAACAACGATTGCCAATACTTTGTAATAATGTTCGCCGTGTCTTTGCTTTCGATCGACTGTTATAAATGCGATGATGTATGTGTACATATATGTATCTATATACGCATAACACAAAGTCTGTAAACGTTGTTCAATCGGTATCTTAAATTATTGTTGGAACTAAGGCGAACGCTTAAGCATCGTAGTGGTGGTAAACGACGATGCTCAGGCGCATTTTAGCACGATATCGTATGCCATTGCGAGTGCTACATCTATTTTAATCCTCTGGATTCTTATTCGCAATTGGACCAATTTTATCTTTCAATGATTGTTTTCTATGTTTTTCTTTTTTTGATAACGAGATATTTCGAATTTTCGTAGATTTCTATATCCAATAAGTATTTTATATATAAAAAAATTCTCTATCTAAAGAATTTAAATTCGAGAGAAATGATTGAATATTCCAAGTGAATGAACTTTTAATGGAGAGTGTGATTTCTGTGTAAATTGATAATCCAAGAATATTTTCGGTCGTTTGCTGGCAAGGACAGGACATTCAAAAAATTAAGATGCTGAGAGTTTTTCCCTTTAATCATTGTATGTAGTCTTCGTAGACTGTCATTTAAATTTCTTCGATAATTTTAGATTGTTCGATAATTTTACTTTGCAAGCCCCTATCACATGAAGGGATCAAGAGTGCAGCTATAACTGCGCAAATTGTACAGGGGTACGCAAGAAAATAATGTAGCGTGATCACATGTACACACACAAATAATACGTTACTTGGCTCGCGACGACATATTTGTCGCATTCGTCACCATATCGAATCATCATATCGCGTTACTCAGTACGCATAATCTTGCAGATTCTGACGCTCACGAGATTTTCTCTGTATTACAAATAATTTGTTATAATATATCGAAGAGTAGTATACTCACTCTTTGTTGCAACTCGTGCAAACCGTATATATTTATTAATTTTTTGTTACCTTTATGCAAGTTCGAACCTATACAAGTACAACATCGATATATACACAATACGGTATACACTTATATCAATGTCTAGTTAAAAATTTGACGTGGATATTATTATATATAATAATAATCGACGAAATAAAGTTTCAACGTCGAAAAATGTATTCAACGAAATAAAACATTGATTGTTGTTTCCTGGACGTGAAATTCGATTCGTTCTCGATCCTTTTTCAATCAATGTAGGATAGATAAATTTTACTAAGTTAATATTTTATGAACATAAACGAATAAGATCACGAATTAAATATTTGTGAATGAATTTTTTATTTCTGTTAAGTATAAGGTTACCTCTCACGATTTTGAGTTGTATCACTTATATAATTCTGTCACTTATGTATTTCTACCATCGCATCGTAACGAATATTGTATGATCAATATTGACAATCAATATTGATTTAGATTAAATGACTTTCTTATCGTTTAACAAGCTATATTATAGAGAATTATCTCAAGTTCAATGTACTTCTGGAGATAAGATCAGTTATTATAATATCTCAATTTATTTATCAAGTTTAATTTACACTAAATAATCTTACTAAATCTATGGAATTACACGTTATTTGTATCGCTAATATCTCGATATCTTAACTTATTTAATTCTAATTTTTTATCCTAAGAAACGCATGATTTTTTAACGTTATGAATTACAATTACGTGTTAAGTGCGACAAGGGTGATGGCGAATATGCGAAATGCGAGTCTCGACTCCCTTAATTTCTGTATTGGAATTGAGGCCGGCGTGCCTGCTTCTTACCCATCGACGAAAGATCGATGGTCTTTCCGTCCGGGAGTACCAGCTTGTTTTCTTGATAATCCACGAAGCCATCTTCCTCCTCTTCTCGGTCTTGTTCATCACACTTAATTCCCATCTCGTACGTGTATTCGCGTCGGATACCGTCCGGGTCGATGTATCCGTACTTACCGCTTGTTATGCAATCTACGCCAATCGTTTCCTCCTTGTATGATCCGTCATCGTTTTCGAAGCCCCACGTGATGGAACCGTCTGCGTTGTCGTGTCGGTATCGCCTGATAATCTACAAAATATTATTCGTTATGTCAGGAATTGGAAAATCTTTTCAAAGAAAGATTCTGTTTATAGATTCTTCTTTACTGAGGAATATGTCTATGTGTACATATATATATATATGGCGAATTACGAAATATTAAAACCTATTTTAGAAGATCTACAGTCCTTGCATTTCAAAATACAATCTTATTTATAATTTCAATATTTTAATGTGTATATTTTAACATATATTTTATTATTTACAAATATTCCTGATTATACTGATTCTTTATATTTTGGTATACAGTGTATAAAATAGAATTTTATTCGGAATTCTGATTGTTCGAAGTGATTTTAAGACTCATTTATAATAAGCACATAAAAAACACTGGTCATGTCATTTTTAACAAATTCGACTGGAGATGTTGCGTAACAGGGCACAAACAGGTTTTGTCTGATCGCATTTATGAGTTATGCGACGTTATCTCAAAACAAAAAAAGAGCACGATGGTCAGATGATTCCGCTTTCACCTTTCAATTTTAAGACTATCAATTTTTCATACTCTTTGATTATACTGATCTCGATCGCGTGATTCATATTTTATTCTCTTTTTTTTTTTACAATATTAAGTGGAAATGGACCGAAAAGTGTTCAAACACAGATACATGAAGAACGTCGTATTTGATTAAGACTGGTCTTATCCATATTATTAGATACTTAAGATCAACTTTTGCTGAAAATGGTCTTTTTCGTGCATTACTGTTAAAATTATTTAATTATGAGATAACAACTTAATTAAGTTAAAGTGATGTTCTTTTTTCCGGTCCGTCGTCTCTTATTGAAACATGTCGAGAAAAATTGACTATGGTCAATTTCTTAAGACTTAAAGCTTAGGAGGTAATGGCTTATTATGGAAAATCCATAAGAATTTATTTGCGGTCTCGGAGATGTTCGGTAGCGGGCCTACCTGAGCTACTGGCTTCTTGCCGCGGATTTCGTAAGCCTGAGACGGTTTTACTGGCTTGGGCGGCGGCTTGATCGGTTGCTGGAACGTGATGTCGTCGATGATTTGTTTCCTCGGGGCCTTCGTGGGCTTTTGCGTCGGACGATATTGGATTGGTGGCGGTGGCGGAGGTGTCGGACGGAATTGAATGGGCGGCGGCGGCGGGGGTGCTGTGGGACTCACCCTGACGCTCGTTGGCGTCACTTGGGGTGGACGATACGCCAGCTGTCCTGAGGCCGCGGGAGGTGCCCGTGGATTCGGCACCGTTCGCGGTATCTCCTCGCTTAAATCCTCCTCGCTATCCTGGCTCCTGATTTCCTGGCTCCGATCGGGCAAGTCTTCATCCTCGCGGGTAGAATCGCGCGACAGGTTCTCCTCTTCCTCCGGTTCCTCGTTCACTGGTTTCACATGTGGCGCGGCGAACGAAGGCGTGGCTACCGGCCGGAGAGGACGGAATGCACCTGGCGCGTCGTCTCCAGGACCTCCCCGGGGTCTACAATTTTAAGGGTTTCTTCAATTAGAGCGATTACATGTGCTTACGCGTTACAGAGAAATTATGTGTAATTCTTGGAGATACTTCCATCATTTTCATGTCGCTATTAGATTATATCGATCTGTATCGATCGCACTTAATGAGATGTAACAGTTTACTTTTTAGAAAATGCAAAAAAGTGGAATATGTGAAAATGCCAAGACTATATTTTACTCTTTACCATTTACAACGTTAGACATGTATTTACATACTTACAGAGCCGCTCACGTGGAACGGTATTCGGACTTTCTTGTTCAATTTGCATGCCTGATGTAGTAAAGAAACGATAGAATCATATGTTAAGATTGCGTAATTCCATGGCTATTCTTAAAGAAACGTCGATAATTTCGCGCTTCCTACTTGGTGGTAATGTTTGAGGAGGTTGCAACGAAACTTGGACCCGTTAGACTAATTAACAACAGTACATGTAGGCCTATATATTCTGCATCTTTCGAACAGATATGCGCGTCGCCCAAACTGGTTTTCCTGCCTTTCCAATAGCTCGAATAGTTCACTCGCACAGTCAGATTATTTATTATACGGATATTATTACTTTTAGTACGCGATTTATTTATATTCATTGCAACTAATTTTTCCAACAAGGTCATATTCTAATAGATATATTGTAGTAAAAAAAATCTTCGGAGATTTCACGGACCATGTCACAGATAACCATATTTACAAAAAATATATTTATTGAATTTAAGAAGAAACGTTGTCAAAATTAATTTATTAAAGCATACTTGAAAATCTTATTCATTAAATTCTCCCGATCTCTACACAATTAATCATCCCACATTTGGATGACCAAGTATGTTGTATGATTAATGATCAAGATATTATTTGAAAGGAAGATCGGTCGACTCATATGTCATGAATTTTGACGTGTTATTTAAGAACAGATAATTATAAGAAAAGAATTTTGTCAAAATTAATTTATTAAAGCAGATCTGGAAGTCTGCTCCATTTAACTTTCCCGAATGTTACACGATTATAATATTATCTATAAGTATATATATCTCTAAGTATATTATTTCCTAAGTTATATGTCTCTAAGTATATTATTAATGATCGAGGTATTACTTGAAGGAGATCGGTCGACGAAATCGTTGGTTAGGAAACGCTGGTCCAGTAGCGCCCGGTCGAGGTAATCTCTGATAACGAGTCGATCGTACCGGGATCGGTGCCCCCTTTGGTCCATCCTGTGCCTGTGCTGTGCAGAGCGCGGCGACGCACGCCAAGAACTTAAAAGGAGAATTTCGTAAATTATACATTTATACATTATTCTTATACTTTAATTGTATAATTATGTATTATTTTATTCCTCGATTGCGATCTTCTGGAATTATTGTGGAGTAAAGGATAATTAAGGACAGATGTTGGCACACATTTCTATCGTTTAAGACTTTGTGGTTTAAATCAAACTATGCAGCGAGTCTATTATTTATTTCTGCACGGTTTGCATAATAATTATTATTATATTATAAATTTTGTCAATAAAAATTTGTGAAAATTTGTTCTCTCTCGTTATATTATGTATTATATATCTATACATAATATCACTGATTTTGTCTCTTCGTGTGTGAAGCCTAAAATATTTAATTAAATAAAATGTTTGTGATAAGGCTCAATATGTATTTAACAACTAATATAAAGAGATAAGGGCAATTATTTTAAAATCTTTTTAAAATTAATCTAATATATTGCAAAGAATATCACAAATTGTATTATAATATTCTTCGCAATATATATTAGATTAATTTTAAAAAGATTTTAACGAAATTATTGGCTCATTGCCCTTATCTCTTTATTTTAATTAAATATTTAAGAAAAAATTTAATTAAATATATAAAAACGTTTAATTAAATATTTGACGCTATTTTTATAGAAGAATTTTAGCAATTCCCGATTTAATTAAAGACATACCGCTGTTACGAGAATCACGATCATAATACTCGTGAAAAAAGAAATATTTAACTACGATGATTGCTACATCGCATGTTACCGTTTTGTACTCTCACATCGAGGTTTTCGACGTAAGTTTCTTAGAGAAAAAGCGATAATGAACTATATTACCTGTCACGCTCTTGAAATAGCTCTAATCATCCGCAATTCGTGTCTCGTGATTTCTCCAAACAAAAATAACGAAATACACACCGGATATCAATGTTGATCATTAAATTCTCATATTTTCCGAGTTTTCACCGATAATTCCGTTGGAGATTTATTAACCATCACGAGCGTTTTTGTGCAACTGTGCACGCTAAGTATGTACAACACTAATAATAGCAACCGTTAGTGAAATAAAAATAAAGATTATGCATGATATCGAGATACTGGAATCAATGAACGGCAACGCCATGAGCGTGTAACGCGTTACGCGAAACACGTTCGCGCGGTATTATTCCGGTTTGCACTCCGCATTACGAGCACCGGCTGCCTGTGTGTACGCAA